TAAAAGCATATGGCACAGACATTCAAGTGGTAGTTTAGGAAATGAGATACAGCAGTTTTCATTACATGCCCTCATTTATCCAAGAGTAATGAACTATGTTAAAACCAACACTGGACTGCTAATCTTTGGAGTCACAGTTATTCAAAGTGAAGCCCACAGCAGTGGTACAGGGCATCTTGTTTCTTTATGGGCACTAGTAAAACAACATCATTTGAAGACATGAAATATTGGGAGAAAATATTTATGGACTCAATTAGACTTTGATGTTTATGAAAGAAAAAATCATCCAAAAAAAATGTACTACATCTAGAGAACTCCTATTAAAGAATGCAGAGGACGTGAGGGTAATGTTAACAATTCATCTGTTACCAAAAAGAAGATGAAGGATATCGATAATGAACCCAAATGCACTAACTCAAAAAAAGCCTCCTCTACTTACATTACTGTAGAAATTATTCATAACTGTCTCTTAAAATAACTATAGGTAGAGTTTGCTGTTCTCTTTTATTTTAGATTTCTGTTCAAATGTCATTAAAATCAGAGAGGCTTTTTCTGGCCATTCAACCTAAAACATAACTCTACTCAAACATAACCCTATCCCACCATTCCCATCTCCAACACTTTGTACCTTCAACATTTTGTACCTCCAACCAGTTTTAATAGTCTTCAAACCAATTCTGACTACATAATATTTCCCTTATTTTCTGCAAAATAGAGTGATCTCCACGACATTTGGTTTCAGTACTGCATCTTCAGCATGTAGAAGAATCCTGGTACAGAGCAGGTATTCAACATATATGGTGGTTTTCCTTTAATCACATACATCTTATTGCTTCTTTATCATTCTATCTTGCATGCTTCCTTTAAAGCAATGAGTGAGCCGTGAGGACAGCCCAGGGCTGGTTAGAGATGATGTCACAACCCACTGTGACAACCTGTTTCAAGTTGGCTCCTATAGGAAAGGAATTAATGCATGCCACCTTAAAAATAAGTATGGGATAATGGTGTTGTGGATGCTGGATAACCAAGGGGATGGCTTATTCTTATTTCTTTGCATCTGTAACCACATGTGGTTACAGATGCAAAGAAACCACAATACTTATCATGTCAGATTCTTTTGCAGCTAATGGGGGAAACAGTGTAATTGTGTTAGTCTTTGAGATGTGAGCACAAGTTGCTGAGTTGTTATTCTAGAAAATCATGTAAAAGAGCAGAATTAGCCATAATGTTCCCTTGTCCATTCACCCTTTTCTTCATTTTCTTGGATTCACTGTGGATACAAGAGCTGGATCTCTAGAAGATATCACATAAATGTACAGCTTGAAAATAAGAGACAAAGGATGTCAGGAGAGACCTGTTCTTTGATGGTGCTCAGGCATTTACTCTTCACTGTCTACCTGGGTCCCTCTTAGTACACGAGTGAAATAGACACCTGCCAATTAGGCCATTGTTAGCTAAATCTTCTTCACTTTTTCTTTTCATGCTCATAGAAATACACATTCCCTGGCTAGTAACATTCATCTATAAACCCTGAGGTTTAGAAAGAATAATAGCAGACCAAATCCTTAGTTTAGAGCTGTAGCAATATGGAGATGGAATAAATTTTAAGAATTTGGAATGAGAAAGTTGTTTTACTCAATCTTACCTCTTTAATATGTAGTACACTGCCTGCTATATACTAGACAATAAAAATGTTTGCTGACTGATGCTTTTTTTCCATATTTTTAGTAGACTATTTTGCAATAACACAACACTTAAAAGATGTATTAGGATGTATAGAAGAAGGTCTAGTAGCAAATCTTAATTTAATGGATAACAGTATTTATTAAGTAATTAACATTTACTGAATTCATATTATCATCTAGGCACTATGGTCAAATTATTTGTGCATTTAAAAAATTCTCACAGCAATTCTATAACTTAAGTGTTATATTATCACTACTACTGCTGCTGCAGCTACAGAATTTCAAAAATATTTAAATAACAAGCAAAAATCACATAGTTAGGTGATATAAGAACCAGTATTCAAGGTCAATGTTATCTCTAATCAAACCTATGTTCTTAAATAGTATGTACTAATAAAATATTCTAAAGCTGTTTTCTCCAAAAAAGAATTCTTTAATTCTGAAAAGCTGTTTTTGGCAAAAGAGCAAATAGACATAAAAAGTTCATTTGTGTTAACGATTATTTATTATTAATTAATTGTCACTTCCTGAATAAGTTGTTATGAAATTCATTGTTTCTGATACATCAGTTGGAGTTTTTATATGCACACACGAGGATGGTGAGGTAAATACAGCCATTCAGATGGAGAGTTTCATGCCAGCTCTGGGTTGCTATTGGGACTCTAGATTATTTGTAGCATTTTTATTTTAAAATCCTGGAGTCTTTAAAATGTGACACCACAACCTGCATAGCGGGATATTGATAAGAACAAGAATGAAGGAGGTGATTCAGTAGATACTTAAATGGCAAAAAATATAGTGCAAGTTTCACACGCCCTGGAGACGGCGGGTTTATATGATAATAAATAATAGTTACCACCAGGACAAAGGAAAAGGTGCTATGAAATCCAATAGCTCAGGGAGAAATCTGCTAATGCAGGTGGTCGAGCCTGTTCCATTTCATTGTCAAAGGGAGGCTATTTATTTTCTTCTAGGTGGTTAAATTACAGAGTCATTTATTGCTGAAAGTTTTCCAGTAGGCAGATGTGAATCTAAAGCTTTAGGCTTTAGGTTCAAAGTTTGTGAGGAAAATAGAATAAGAATTTACTTCATGGATATCACAACTGATAATATAAAATATGAGAGAACCTCTGGAAATATCCCTATTGAAGCCTCCTTACTATGTACCTATAGGTCAAGGGCCAAAATTCTGGATAGGGTAAATAATAATTTGAAAGCTCTTTCAAATATTTCCCTTTTGATAGTCTCTCAACTGAACAAGATGTCAATGAATGTGTGTGTGTGTGTGTGTGTGTGTGTGTAAGAAAGAGAGACAGTTTCCTTGTGCACCAGAATGCCAAGAAATAGGAAAAAAAAATACTCTTAGTGGCTCCTTAGTAGCTATAAATTAATGTCAACTTTCTGTTCCTGTTTATATCAAACAACTTAAGTAACTTATTGTGTATGTTATCCATATAATTATATATGGTGTGATATATATATATATATATATATATATATATATATATATATATTCTGAGAATATTTATAATACATGCTGCATTCATTATTTAAAAGCTGCTATAATCCAGCAATTTCCGAAACTCAGGAGTCTAACAATAGAATAAATCAAAGATATCCCACTAACAAATTTTCTCTACATACTTTTAAAAACCATTTTCTCACCAACAGGTGTTGCTTTCCCTTCATATTCAAGTATATTTTGCATAAAACTAACAGCTGTTTTTTTATTATCTGTTTTATGGGTACAGAAAATTGCTACTTAGGTTGCCACTGACTCTTCACCAACTAACCTTTAAACCAAGACATGTATGTAATTTCCTTATTAATCAAATATATTAACTTCATCCATCTTAGTTCATGACCAAAATCCAAAGCTTCCAGGCATAATCCTGATGAAGAATATATTACACAGCTGAAAGAATTCAAATTCTAATTTATATTGCCTTGAATAGCAATTAAAGGGTCATAAAGGACAAAGAGTCCACCAAAGTAATCTGTAAGGGAAGTGACTTGTAACCAAAGGTGAACAGATGTGGGCTGCATCCGCTTGCCCAGAGGCAACTGCAGATCATGTGGACTAGTATCCCACCTCTAGCAAGCGCAAGTTGAAATTGGAAAATGTTGCCGGAAATTGTTAGCAATTACATCAAAATCTGAGTGACTGAAAATTTGATTACTCCATCCTTATAACACTGAGCTCTAATAGGGACCAATAAAGGCTACAGTATACATGCATCTGGCATTACTGCCTCAAATTAGGGTTTCAAGATCTGCTGGGTATTTACTCCCAGTTTTGACAATCTAGAGATACAAAAGATCAGTACTATTAATCATACAATGTATTTAAAAACTGACATTGCATGTAAACAAATCCAAAATGACTACTACTTTAACATAAATATCTACCAAGCATCCAAGTGTTATAAAGGAATTTTTTAGCTTTTTATTTAGAAATAATTACAGATTTGTAGAAAGTTGCAGAGATAGCACAGAGAGATCCCTGGTACCCTTCACCCAGTTTCCACAAGGGTTCCATCTTGTATAAATAGAGTACCACATGAAAACCAGGAAACCAATGATACATTGTTTGCATAGTTCTATATTATTTTATTACATGTGCAGATTCTTATAACCCCATTGCAATCAGGATACAAAATTATTATAGGCAATTTCATTCATTTTCTTAGAAATAAAATTATATTATAATTTCAGATAGAAGGTTTTCAACAACTTATTCTATAATACAATATTAAAATCATCAATATCTATGAGATTATTATTTAGGAAAACTCAATGTTTCTGGGCCAAAGTGAAATTCTAGTAATACAAATGACCTTCAGTAAACTTACTGTCCTGCATAGATCAGACAATTCCATAATCCAACAATCAGCTCTCCTCAGATGAATGCAAGTGCATTTTTCAGCACACAGTTAATCAAAGACATCTTACCAAAAACCTTACCAGTACACCAAAACTCTTGTTTCCCAGTGAAAATCCTAGACACAAGTACACACACATCTCCTTTCTCTGGAAAAAACAGAGCACTTCACAAGTATCCTTAATTAATTAACGAGTTTACCATAACAAAGAGCACATTAATAAATATACACAAAGAAACAATGCAATAAATCTGCCAGATTATTCTAAATAAAGTCTTATTGTAGTTTATTTTCTCTAGCAAGTAAATATAAACCAAATTATTGCAAATTCCACTTCTGAATCAACTCACAATGGAGAAATATTTGAGATCTCTTTCTCATTTACATACACACACACACACACACACACACACACACACATCTGAAGTCTTACCTTGGCCATTTGTGCCTGCACACCATTTGCCTTGAGGGATGCTACAGCTTTTTGTGCCGCTGCAGGACTGTCAAAATCTACAAAACCATAACCTGTGAAAATACAAAAGCACCTGTTAGTACACACAGGTAGCTGCACCTCTATCATAGTGGTGGGTATGGGATCCATTTCTTCTGAATATAAACAGATTGAATATGAAGGCTCTCAAATCAGTGGTCCTTAGTACTTGGGAGAAATACCACAATAAAGGAGTAACTCATTTTTAGAGAACAATAAATCAGCAGCAATCTTATTTAGATCTATTTGCTGATAAGGTACTATATTGTTCTATGTTCTAAGTTTTTTCTTCAGTGAATTTAATCTTGTTCTCACAAGATGCTGCAGAATATAAAAATGTCTATCTCTGAAGTTAATTTTCTTACTTAAAGCCTTGATAAGAACTTGCATGTGGTTATCATGAGCCATCGCAATAGTACCTGCCACACATTAGGTTTTCAACAAACAGATGCTGGCTGCATGAATAAATGAAGACTGTGGGTGAGTTAGGACTTCAACCTAGATCTTTTTGGTTTACAAAGCTATAACTTCATCACAGAACCTTGCCTCTTCCAATGTTAACATCTTAAAATAAAATATTTCAACTGTTCAGTGATCTATGAAGGAGTGATTCAGTAGATTATATTCAAGCTTTTAAAAATAAGAAGCAAATACCCACTTGCTGGTTACCTGAACACAACCTAAAAAGACATGAGTTGTTCATGACTGTGCTCTTGTGAGTGTGTATATACCGAGTAGTAAAAGAATCAATGAAATGAGAGTTTTATATGCCCTTATGCTAACCAATACTAGTCCAGGGCTTAGCCTAATGGCAATGTCAGCTGCCAAGAATATTTAAAAATATAAATGTTCAAGAAGGAGTATGAGGGCAGGTTTGGTGGGTACTTCTAAAAGGCCAACCATGTATTTCTACACCTCCTCTTATCTGTTAGGAACGGATTTGCTCTATATTTTCATACATACCCCACTTAGAAGTTTTGAGGCGAGCCACAGACGCAAACCTACTAACCAAGTGCTCTGACCCCTCCTCCCCCACCTCAATAACCAAAGATGAGAGCTAGGGAATTCAATTACCAAGTTGTTTCTTTTAATTAACTTTTTAATTTTCTCCCCTCGAATCCCATCTTCGTTTTCTCCCTCCCAGCATGGAAGCCTAAAATGAACTTGTTACACAGCAGTGTACCATAAAATGCTCTTGAAAAGCTGGGCAGAGAAGCTGTGAAGTTTGTATTTCTAATCCAAAAGGAAGTATGCTCTGTTAAGTACTGCTAATTCTTCTCTTCCTGCAAAATTCAAACTATGTGGGTAATATGACTATTGCCACCCATAAGGATGAGTAAAATAGAAAAAATAAATAGCAGAAAGAAATAGTATAAAAAGTCAAGATGTGGAATTAGGGCAAAAATTTTAAAAAAACTAGAACTGAGACATTATCTTCTTATGCCATAGGCTATCCTGGATGTTTGTCATGTTGACATGTAGTGATGTCATAAGAGTTTCATGCAACATTGGTCTCATACTCTTCTATACACATAGAAACTGAGGCACAGATGAGAGGATCAATGGGTCAAACATCACAAGTCATTTAATTGGCAGATCCAAGAAGTGAAACCAAGGCTGCAAAGACCCTTTCAAATACATCATACGGTGAACTGTTTTACAATCCTATTTTGTAAGCTCTCAAGTTCACCAGAGAGAGGATTTAATTCTTAAAAGTGGCTTGTGTTTTGAAGTTAGGACATGAACTGAAATAATTCAGAAAAGTATTCAATCCAGCTCATTTAGTCAGTGCATTAGTTAATGGGCTACCCGGTCTACAGTCAAACTCTCCAAAGGAAGACTAGGCATTCCCCATCTTCTATCTCATGCTTTAAGTCAGTCTTCCTCATTTACTCATAGCTTCATTCCTTCATTCAATTCTGAAACGCTCTGTCAGGCAATGTGGCAAGCATGGCATATGAAGTCTTGAGGAAAAAAATAGCCCCAGTTCCCACTTTGATGCAACCCACAGTTGAGTTGGGACATGGACATGAAGCAAATAACCAGACAAATGAATCTATGATTATACATCAGCATGTCTCCCTTGAAAGAAAAAGAGAGACTCTAATATAGAATCTAACAATTGATTATTCATTAGTGAAAGTTTAAAGGAAACAGTAGCATGAAATGAAATACGTATCACCTTAGTGAACACTAAATCATTGCAGAAAAAGTGATCTGCATGAGTAGATTAGCGGGGTGACTTAGGAGCTATTGCAGCAATCCATAGAAATGGCAGCTGGCAGTGAAATTGACTGGATAAAGTGGATGATTTGAGCTATATTTTGGAGGCAGAATTAAGAGAAATTGGTGATAGATTTATTGGGTTGGGAGTAAGAGGGGCAGATGACAAGGATTACTACTGGGTTTTTTCCATAAGCCCTGGGTGAGTGGAGATGTGACCTACTGGAATGGGGAGAGTGGAAGAGGTTCCAATAGGAGGGAAAGTAAAGATACTGGTTTGAGACATATTGAGTCAGAAAAGCTCATGAGACCTCTCAGTAGAAATGTCAAGGAACAGTTGTACATATTAGGCTGGTGCTCAGAAAAGCAGATGGAATTGAAAAATTCAAATCAGGAAAGCAAGAGCATAAAGATGTTATTTAAAATGATGGAAATAGAGAACAATGTCTATAGTAAGTTTTTTTTTTTTTTTTTTTTTTAATGGATCTAGGTTTGGAAACTAAACAGCATCAGCATTTAGGTGCAGGACCAGGAAATGAATTTGCAAAGAAGGCTGAAGGAGAATCCAAGAGGAAGAAGGAAATAAAAAGGAAAGATGATGTCTCAAAGCCAAGGTAAGAACATCTTCCAAGAAGGAAAGAGAGGGTGAACCAGCAAGAGGCTTGAAAATGCCCAGTGAGCTCAGCAACGTGGTGCTGCTAGCATCCTTTGCTTCAGAAAAGTGATGGGAATGAAAGGCTACCTGAGAAGCTGGAGAGTAAGGCAGAAGAGGAGGTAAAGAGCATTTACAGGCCCTCTCTAGTTAGTTATCTTGACTGAGAGAGAGAATTAAGAGGCAAAGTTGCTAGCAGGGATATGAGCTCAACTGAGCTTTCTGTTGTAGTTGCTCTTTGCTTTAAGATAGGAAATTTGGTGGGTAGATATGTGCATATGTGGATGGAAATATTCTTACCTTGTTCCAATGTGAACAACAAATATTTATTGAACACCTATTATAAGAAAGATTCTGTTCTTCACACTTTTGAATATGTATTGGAAAGATCAAGCCAATAATAAAAGATTAAATCTTTCAGAAAGTAATGGGGTAATTCATAAAATTACATTCCTGAGAAGGTAGAGGGGTAGGGAGGGTATCTAGGACACAGATGATCATATGAAAGCACTGTGCCTTCCCTCCCAAGAACTAGAAAGAAGAACAAAGTGCACTCTTGGTTACCAGGTGTTATTCTTTGCTATTCTCTCTGTTACTGGGACTGTACCTAATGCATAGCCAGTACTTAATAAGTATTTGTTAAAATAAACTCAAAGCATGTTTAAAAGATGTTAGATTACTTTTCAGACTACCATGGTGATTAACGATACAAATTAATTATTAATTATTAATTATTCTATTAATTATTCTTGATTATAAAAAATAATATTAATGCAATGTCATGGCTATGGTGTAGCCATGCTTGCCCAGCAAGGCAGCCCCATACTGTGTGACTCTTGTTCTTTATTCTAATGTGACTTCATTCTAACTTCCTCACTTTCCTTCCAACCCACACATTATACAGGATATTACACAATCAAGATGATGATCTCCAGAGCTGAACTCCTATCCAAACAGCAGAAATTTCTGCAAGGACATGAGACACCCTGAGCTTCTCTGAAAGAGGGAACTTATGGCTGAACTTTGAATAAAGTGTACATCTCAAGAGTCATAAAGCCAGCCAGGAAAGAGAGAGGGCCCTTCATCCAAAACATCTGTACTGATGGCTCCAAGCCAAGAGAGGAGTAAAGACTCCATGAACAAAATGACAAATAAAGGATAAGTCACCAAGTCTGAAGTAGTCCACCGAGTTAAGTGACTTTCATAAATACTTTCACTAGTTAAAATGCAAGTTCAGAGGTAAAAAATATCTAAAGCAACCCTGAAAAAAATACTCCCATTCTGGAAATAAACCTTGCATTCCCAAGTTTTACGTTACAGCAGATACTACATCACAATCAGAAGAAAACAAAATGAAATACGAGGCTGCCTCGAGAGAATAATGATGCATTTACTGAGGAATAAAGCAACTTCAATTTGGTTTCAATTTGCTTTCCTTAATGACAAATAATCAAGTCTGGGAACAGGAACCTCTGTACCTACATCTGGCGAGGAGAAGGGTAGGGAGATTAGTTCAGCCTTGGCTAATAATGCTTTATGGTCACTGCTAAAATCCCCGACAGAACATGGGCAAATGCTAACCATTGGAAACCCTGGGCCCACGTGGTTGCAAGCCCACCCGTATCACTTTCCCAATTATGTAATTAAGCTTGGCAGCAAGTTCAAATGAATTAAAACGAAATGTCACTGTTTTCTCCACACACCCCTGTCCTTGTTTTTCTTCCTTGTCAGGGGGAGAAGGCCAGCAGTTCTGCAATTAGCAGGAAGTGGAGCAGTGGGAAAGAACCGACTCTGTGATAATTAGGTCATTCACCAAACGCACTCATTCCATTGACAGATCGAATCAATGCTTTCCTGAAATGCTTTAAACCTTATATGTTAATTGAACGTTTGGCCATTTTTGTCGCACTACTAGCCAAGTGACTTCAGAAAAAAAAGATAAATATATAAATATGCATAAATAGATATGTGCATGTATACATGTGTATGAATATATACACGTATGTATATGCATGTATGCATATGTAGATATAAATATATAATTGCAAGAGGGTTCTTGTTTTGTTTCCTTTATGCAATCGGCATTAACATATTCTCTGTGACCTTTGCCACCCAATTGAACCATTATGTGACAATCCACTTAGAATTTCGTTCAAAGGC